TATTTAACTCTATAGGTGAAGTGCAGTGGTCTTGATTTTTAAAAATTTTGTTTCATATATATATAAGTAGGCATATATCTTCCTAGTTTAGTTTCTGATTTTGGTGTGGGTATGTCGCTAAGTGTGTTCATTTTTAAGATTTAAAAGTGTAGTTTATGTTCATATGAATTTTCTTTTGATTCGGTTTCTTTTGTTTCAAAACCTGCTGGGTTTAAAGACCTTGGCGGGTAGTGTATTTCAAGAAAGAAGCCACTGACTTTCCAGAGAAATCAAAAGTAAGTTTGCATGTCCCATTATTTCTTTTTTATTATTTTTTCTTTACTCCTAACCAAGAAGCTCATATTGAAAAATCCATTTAATAAATATTTTGTTTACATCACATGACACAGATTAGCCCATCTATTTTTAAATCTATTTAACAAAGAAATTCATTTTTTTTTGTTGACAATTCTGTTGATTTTAGAAATTTATGATTTATTATTTTAATGAAGCCTCAATATTCTGCCACTCACACACACACTCACACCACTTCTATTATTCCAAATTCTATCGGTAGGAGTTCAATTGTTTTTTGAAGGGGTCTATAATTTGCAATCTTACCCATTTTCTTAATACTATTTAGACACCTCAACATTTACATATATATAAATAAATTTTCTTCAGAAATCTAGTGCTAACTTGGTTCTTCTTTTAGTATCAAAGTTAAAAGAGAATAAATATGTTAGAAAACTGAATTATAGATCCTTAAGGTCAAAACTAAATTCTTTATTAGAGACTAAAAATAAATACCTGGTTAAATTTTTAGAACTTCATTTAATATTATGGATTTTGCATTTCAACATAAGTGCTAAGGCAAAACTGTTAATAATTGGATAACATTACAAATCACTATCCTCTAGAAATATTTATTCATTAATTATATTTCGAACTGATGTTTTTTTTATCTTTGTGAATATATTCTTAAGATATTTCGATGTCATTGTTTTCCTGTATCAAGAATCCATTAAAAAAAAAAAAAAATATATATATATATATATATATATATATACATCCTGTCCTCCACCACCTGGATGCCCGCATGTCCTTTCTACCTTCTTCCATCGTTTCCTTGATAGTCCCTTTGGTCTAGTGGTGAAGATTCCCTCTGTATAGACCATTTTCACCTGTCTGTCTTCATTCATTTGGTTGGCATGGCCATACCATTTCTTCTGCTTGTTCTTATAACATTTGACAGTCGAAGAAAGTCATTATAAAGATCATAAACCTCCTCATTTTTCGTAATTTGCCATATCCCATTCTAGATCAGTAAATCTGGTCAGAGTTTTAGATATGCTAATTTTAACTTTGCAAGAGATAATCTTACTCTTTAATAAGTGCCTAAGTGCAAAATAAGCTCCAGTTCCTGCTAGGATCTATCTTTTTACTTCTTCTGATTCATTTGTTTCAATTGTCATTGAAGATGCTAAGGTATGGGAAAGCGGACAATAATTCTATATTTTCTCTGCCAATTTCATAGCTTGGTGGGTGTTCTCATCTAATGTTTTATACGACTATTTGTTTTGTTTTTCAATATTTATTTTGAGACCAGCCCTTCTTGCCTTTCATCTTAAGGCATCATACGTCTCCTCAATTCCTTGCTTGCTTCCTCCTAAAATCACTACATCATGTGCCTATGCCATTATTTGCAGTGATTTATTTATGGTTGTTTCATTTTCCATAATCTTTATGTTCTTCACTATATTATCAGGCATGAGGTTAAACAACATAATTGCAAAAGCATCTCCCTGTCTCAGCCGATTTTTTATTTCCATGGGCTTAGATAACTCTTTACTCTTATTTGACAGTTGGAGTTCCTCATTGTCATCTTTCTAAGATTGATCAGTTTAGAAGAGATATTACCTTTTTCCATTGCCTCAAATGACGTGGATCTGTAGATCTGCTATTTATGGATAGCAGCCCTAATCCTCTGGTCGACTAGTTGGCCTTCACCAATTGTCCCCACGCCTGGGAGGCCCTTAGAGGGACCTCCAAAATAATTGTTAAATATTTTTCTAGTACCCCAAGAAAATTCTTTGTAGTTGTTTATTTCTACAAATTTTTGGAGCCCCTCCTAAGGGTCCACAATATTAATGTTTTGTGCATTTTTATCCCCATAGAATTATTGGAGATTCTCTCTGAGGCACCAGAAGATCATTTTGTTGTATTTATCAAGTATAGTTTTACGTTTGGCCTCCAAAATAGTTGCATGTATATATGCACTATGCAAATCAGTTATAAATATACTTTAGCTGAGGGTCCCAACTGGAGCCAGACCGGGCATAGAGAAAAAGGAAAGGAAGATAAAATGAAGTAGAAGCAAAAAAAAAAAAAAATCAATTATCACAACATACTAATATAAAATAAGAGTTTGTTTTTTATTTGTAATTAATAACTGTGAAAACTACTAAATCTACTTTTAACTATATTATCTTCATGCTCCCTGGAAGTAATAATAAAAGCTCTGTATTTTTGATAAGAGGCAGTAATTATAAACATCAATTCAGAAAACTGTTGGCACAGTTTCCAGTAAATATTGTTTGCACTCACTATAAATAAAATATAAGAACAAATTTTTAAGAATGTTGGAGTCAAATAAATAACATTTTATTTTTATCTAAATATCTAGATTTTATTTTATATATTGGGTTGACAAATAAGTACTTTCAGTTTTTCTGTTCATTTTTATGCCACTATGATACACATCTTATCTGATGAATTAATCTCTAAGGTGGATTGTTTATCCTGTTTGTAATATGTTAACAACTCTTGTTGAAACTAGCTTTGTATTCTATTTGCTATTGCGCTGTGAATATGGAAGAAAATATCATTCATTATCAGCAATCTATGAATATGGCATTATGAAATTAGTGGAAAGATAGGAAAAATGCTAAATGTTCAATATATTGTAGATTAAAATAAATTTTATGTCTATAATACATTGAGTTCTATTTCACCCTGAAAAACCGAAAGGACTTATTAGCCAACCTAATATTTTAGTTTATCTAGATCAGGTTACAGAGAGAACCTACTGGTTATAATATAATTATGCGACAGCAAGAAAGATTTAAAAATGCTTTTGAAGATTTTGTGCTTTGAAAAAGAGCTAGTAATAAGCCATTAAACCGAAAATGCTTTCTTTTAGCCGGGTCACTTTATTTTAGTGATTGGTGCTTTTGTTTTTCTGCATAAATTTTGGATGTTATTTATCCAATCACATGCACTAGATCATATATTACCACGTATATGAAACATGTGTGTTGTATGTGTGTAATTGAAACAACACAGATGGAGTTACTAGGTCACATCTAGTAATTAATAATCATACAATGAAAATAATTCTAGGGTGTATAAAGAGTGTATAAAGTATAAAAAGTATAGGTCAAAATAGTTATTTTTAGAGCCTCTAAAAGGTTTAAACAATTATTGACCATTTTGTTGTTAAAACATAAATTAGTATTAAAACAATTTAAAAATTTAATCATTTAAGCAATATTCTTTTAAAAGCTAATTTTCTACCCAATGAAAGAAAAAACTACCAAAAAGATTTCAATCTAAAAAAAAAAAAAAATCGAATTTTTTGGCTGATGCTCTTAATGCCTAACATGCTAGAATTTTTAAATGAACTGGTAAATATTAATTTAAACATTTATTTGATTAAATGAATTCATTAATTGTTGAAGTAAAAAAAATCAGTAAGCTTTATCCAAAGTTATGAAACAAGTGAGTAGTATTATGAAAATGAACACCTTATTGTTTTTTTTATATTCTTTTTTATCATTGGTTTAGGTTATTAGAAACTAGTTTTACCCATGCACTGCTGTGGCTTAGCCTGGCAAAATGGAAAAGAAAGAAAATAGAAAGCACATATGAGTAGATTAATAGCAAAGGACATCTGTCATTTCTAAAAAGTTGGGAAACAAATTTGTCTGTAAAATGGCTTCAATTTAAACTAATTCTAATGATTTTTTTTCACAAGATTCCAATTGAACATTTATAATCATCTCAGTGAATACGCCGTCATTCATATATAATAGTATTGTAATGTACATATATAAAGAACGTATAATAGTATTGACCTACATAAGGAGAATCATATAACTTCTTCAAATGATAGTTTCAATTACGGTAGTAATTATAAAATTTTCGATTAATCAATAAAAAAAAAAAAATGCTAGCCTACCTTCGGTAGTGAGGAAGCAAAAGGAGATGGCCTTTTCTGAAGAGGAAGCAGTAAATTTTTAAAACTCTATAACTCTGCAACGAACCGACCGATTTCGATGATTTTTTTTATTTTGTCAGCAATTCAGAAATCCTTCATATAAATGTGGGTATTATTAGTCAAAAATTGTGTAATTTTTTAGTTATCGTCAAATAAAATATTGAATTCGTCGTAACATTTTTCAGCTTGTTTTCGGGAAAGTATGTTATACACATAAATTAAAAGGGTTTCAAGGGGAAGACTTTAGCCAAGTTTCGTTAAAATCGGTAAAGCTGTTATGGCGCTACAGTTTATAGCGACACATTTTTTTGTGGATTTGAACAGAAAAAATTTACATTTTTATTTTTTTTACGTATATAAAATTATCGTAAGACAGAAATACTATGCCAGAAACCTTACCAAGAATGTGCGGAACAACTTCCCAAAGTTTCATGGCGATCGGATGAATGGTTTAGTAATGCACAAAGGACAAACAGACATACATTCATTTTTATATATATAGATATAGTTAATCAGATGTTAGATAAAGAAGGTTAAATGCTTATAGTAAACTTAATTGAATTTAAAAGTTTCTTATTAACTTGGTCTATTTTTCACTCATTTCCTCTATCCCTCTTCACTCTGTATTTTATTGAGCTTTTTAAAACTTTTATCGTCCATAATGTGAATTTCTTCCCCTACTTATTACTATTTTACAGAAAAAAGAATAAGGAGTAATCACTTGATTTTTTTTTTTTTTTTTACTTCTAGAAGGGAAAAATTAAATATATAACAATTTTTAAAATTTATTTTTTTTAAATATTTTATTTATTTAATTTCAATATAAAGTGCATAACCTACATCACTTGAAACATTCAATATGAATGGCATCTGCTCTATGTAGATCAGCAGATTTACCTGACATACACATTTTACAAAAAAAAAAAAGTAAAATAAAATAATTTTTTGAATTCATATTCTAATGATATGTCCCATTAAATGGACTTTATGGAATGATCAAAAACTATTTACCTGTTTACTCAATATTGACATATATATTATGTACTTTATCTTTTAACATTGATCATTATAACAGAATCTACACAGCTCTTGTTATTAACATTAAAACACGACTTAAGAACATTAAAAAATCATTTGCAATATGTACTACATCAAATTACCATCCTATAACTGATGATGGAACTATGTACGTTCTATAAACTTCACTGAAGTCAACATCTTAAAATTTACTAAGAAATGGAAATTATTAATAATACATACAATGGTCTAAAGTGATAATAACATAAATAAAAATACATTATATTAAAAAATATATACTAAAAAAAATGAGTACGATAATGACATTGGTATTTAACTATAAATTAATCTAAAATTTTTGTTATTTTTTTCATAAGATTTTTTATATATCAATACGTTAAAGTTTTATTTGTTACAAAAAAATAACATAAATTTCATAATTCGGATTCATTTTGCTTGCATTGGCTTAACAGAAAAAAAATTAAATAAACAATTTAAAGGGAAGCCACTTGGATCTATTAGCATTTCATGAGTGAATGAGAACTTCATTATAAATTTAATTTTGAGAGGTTTAAATTAATCTACGCAACAAGTGCTTTTTCTTAACATCAATCTAAATACATCTCTTACACAACTAATGACTGAAATTAATTACCTTCATTTAATATTATCAATGTTGCAATGCAATTTGTTTAAGGCACTGTGCAAGATGCACATTATATTTTTTGTATTTACACAATTTTTATATTTAAATAGTCAATAACAATAAAATTCTTTTGTTGTATAAATTCTGTGACTGAGGTTCCAATCCAAATTTTAATTGTTAAGACCAACACTATGTTTGCTTAAGTACAACCAGTCGACAATCTTCCACCTTAAATTAAAAACATCACATAATCAAAATCAATCACAGTCTTTGTAGTATGAGTTGAAAAACTCTTGGCAATCGTATCGCTCTGCCATATAGCATAAAAATAAATCAGTTTATAAACTAAATAACACAGGGTATTTCAACACCCATCATAATGGTTCACCATTTTTTAAAAAGTGGTTCACTTTCATATTAAAAACAATAAAAAAGAAAAAATATTAAATCTTTTATATACATGTTTTAGTTTAAAATTAGATCTTTTTTTATATATAATACAATATACATACATATATAAATATCATTTTTTTCTTTTTTCGTTAAAATTTTGAAATTTAAAATAATCAAAAATTAAAATGTAAATTTGCCTAAATTGACATTATTGAGCAACTAAGCTTCCATTAGCTGGGCTTCACACTGCTCTAGGCCTCTTTCTCCACTTTCAGTGCTTGAGTTTGATAGTGTTGCCTTCTCTTCAAACACTAAAAGAAAAGAAATATAAACATTAAAAGTTATCAATCATGGATTAAGAATATTGTAACAATTATGGCAAATGTTGTTATGGATTTATTGGTGAAATTTATGTATTTTATTGAATAAATAAACCAATAACTGTATGAATAAATAAATGAAGCATTCATCAAGAAAAAAAACTTCGATATGAGGTTGTGTCTAACTCCCAAGTTTTTTGAAGGGGGAATTGAAAAAAAACAAAAAAACTTGTACCTAAGAAGAATCATATGTTAGGCAAGAGCATAGTTTGATCGATTAATAAATTTACATTTACATTTAACCATACTCACACTTATCCAAACTGATGATGGAGCCTGTTGTCACAAGATCGGTTACAGTGAGAGCAGGATGAGAGTCATCAAGATGAGTTCTTCTCCTTACGAGCCACCAGTCAACCAAAAATAGAGATAGAGCGAGCAACTTTATACCAGCACATAATCCCACGTACCTAGGTCAAACAGATTTTATATAGAATAGAATTTTACATCACAAATACCTTATGAAGTAATCATTCTTAACTTTATTATAATTATAAAATCATTATTATAACCAGTAAAGTACAGTTCTTACTATTTACCATATTTTTAATCATGTGTATAAAAGATATTTTTTTTAAGAGAATTCAAATTAAATTAAATTGTACCTGTATCGAAATTGTTCTATATCATACAAGAGACATCTGCCACCCTTCTCACCACAAGTGGACTTCCAGAAGAGACATGTAGAGTCAATGAGATTACCAAAAAGTATCGGTGCTGGTATGTATCCAAAAAGTCTGAAGATTACAAACTGCATTCCCAGGGCAAAAGATCTTTCTTCTTCGTTTACTGACCTGAAACAGTTGAATTAATAAATCCCTTTATATTATATTCATATAATGCAAGTATAGAAAAAAAATTTTAATCTTCAAATCTTGTTTATTAATTCTTATTTTCTTTAAACTGCCTTCATAACATCATTTGTTAATATAAAGCTCTTACCTCAAGACAATCATAAGAAGTGGCATCTGCGTCACAGCAACAATGAATGTCATGAAGAAAAGTAGAATTAGGAATGGAAATATTGTGTGGCAGGGAGAGTTGCATGGCCCTGCTGTAGCGACAGGCACTACAGTAACTTCAGCAAAATCGGACAAAGGAGCACTAAGACCACTAACATTTCCATGGATACCTATAGGAAAATGGAAGCACAATAATTCAGAGGCTGTAAAACAATTGACTTAAATTAATATATAACTATAACTATAACTATGCCAAATTTCAACTATTGTGTCTTAACCTTTCTGAAACAGTGTTTAGTAATTTAAATGTTAAATAGTGAATGTAACTGAGCTCAGATGAAGTATATTGAAAATTCTAAACAAAAAGTTCTAATGAAATAGAGAAGTGAATAGCAATGATGGACCTACATGCGCAGTTAGTGTAATTGGATCGAGAAGATAAAGCAGTGCATCCAGCATGGCACGGGCTGAAATATGTTAGGCCATTGTTTCCACAAACAGGTTCTACGTCTGTTGTATGACACTCACAGCCAAAGTTGCAAGCAGCAGTCAGGTTGACGGTGAATGGTTCTAGCCGAGAACTAAAATCAATATTTAATGTAAATTACAAACACAAAATATAAAAACATTCAGATAAAATTATCATTTCTAACTTTGCTAATTTTTCATATTGTGTATGATCTAGTATTAAATTAAGGCCTTTACTTATAAATTAAATTATGTTATGAATGATTTATATGATTATGACCAGTTGCCTTTAGATTGTGCTTGCTTCCTGTGAACGGACATGTAACATTACAATAATAAGTAGCTGAACCTTGAGCTAATATTTGTGTTGTGATTCTAACAATTGAATCATTTACTTTAGAAAAAGCATAAGCATCAGAATAGGTTTTGGGTAATCCAGAATAAATCTGTGAATATTACAATTTTTTGTTAGAAAATTCTAACAATGTTTTATATGATTGAATTCTTAAAAATTGTTCAATTTTTCAGTCCGTTCTTTCCTAAGCCAAATTTGTAAATTATAAGTTAAGCCACCTTTTTGGTTCTTTCATTTCAATTCCTCTCAATTTGGAATTAAGTTCTTCACGACACCCTATTATTTTTCATTTGGCATATTGAATCGCATTGAAAGATTTTATTTGAAATAATTGAATTATAAAAATAATAAATCTGAGATTTGGGTGTAATATTTCAAATTATTGTACATTTTACGAATACCTAAATCGGCAATCTAGTAATCAATTTTATTATTTTAGTAAACCTACGACTTCCTGGCCTACAGTTTCCTTTAAAAATACCCCACTTATCCCTCTTGAACAAACCCCATACCTAGGACTCGGACTGGACAAATGTCTAGGTTGGAGTCCTCATAACAGACTGAAACGACAAGAAACCGCTTGACTTTTTCAACTATTTCAGCACTTACTAGACAAATGCTCTAAGCTTCCAATTAATTACAAAAGAATCAAATACATGACTATAATATGGCCTATTTGGAAATACAGAGTTGAGCTTTAGGCTCTACTAAACCATTGTATCCAATCTTTCGTAAAATCCTGAATGGTTCTTACTTTGTTCCAAATAAAATCATCCATAATGACCTTAATGTTCCATATGTTTCCGAATTGGCTCAATCCAGATACCTATCCTTCCATAATAAACTTCAGAACCATCCTAATCCTCTCGCTTCTAATCTTGCTTCCTCTTCAATTCCTGATAACCCTCTGAGCCATCTGAAAAGAAGATGGCCTCATGATCTCCTAATTTAGATGCTCTATTTGAGTCCAACCAATAGGTAGATTCTCTACAGATCTTTTCATACCATTGTATTTCTCTGTATCACATTTACTGGATGTATATTTATTTTTATACAGTAAACTTCACGAATAAAAAAAAAAAATATATTATTTTCTTATCTGAAAACTCTTAATACATTCATGTATTTTTTTAGTTTAGCTGGAAGCCATTTTTTTTCTTCTTGATTCTCGAATCTCTTTTTACTTTCATTTACCTATGCATGGAATATATAGTAAGGGAATTTTAGAAAAAATAATGTCCAATAAATTAAGTTATAAAATGTAACGGAGAGTGACGAAGAAAATACAAATAATAATTTCTGAAAATTAACATTACTTAACGTAAATCACATGTTTTCAAGGAAATTAAATGAAATCTTGTTACTGAATGTAAAATTTAAAAAAAATTTTAAGTTTGAAAAAATTATTGAGAATCTACCGAATCAAAGCAATGACATTGTTTAAAATACTATTTCACTGTAGTTGCGAGGAAGAAGAAGTGAAATATAACAATATTTCATGGATATGTAACCTTAAATACATTTACTTTAGTTTAATAACTCTAGATCTGATAATATGTTTAAATAATAAGGAATCTATCATCTGTTTATTCCGAAAAATAATCATGAAAACTTTTAGAAAATTAAATTAGTAAATATTTTGATGAATTTTCCCTTTGTGATATCCCATCAGTATCCACTTACAATTAGCAGGACAACTATTGACCTATCTATGATAGGCAGTGCGAATCTCTTAATTCCATTTTAGTAAACTTTTAAATGAAAAATAACAGTTTTATAACTAATAGTTGTACAATCCATAATCAACCGTTGATATAATAAATAGGATTTTTGTTATTTTAATGGAATTAATGATTTGTTAGCTGTAAGCTTTTAGCTTTAGCTTAGTTAAAAATACACTTAAAACATTTTATAATAGTCCAACATTGCCAGAAAATAATTTATATTCAAACAGAGTGGTCAGTGAAAGTTGTGTGTTGCGCGTTCCAAATTTTTTGTTTTGGTAATATATTGAGAAAAAATAAATTGGCTGATTGTGTGATTTGCTAAACTGTTATTTCAAACAGAGGACAAAATGCTTTCTTGTAACTTTTTTTTTTTTATATTACAAATTAGAACTTCACGGGTGCCTGTTCAGTTTATTTTAGAAACATCACGGAAGTAGGGCTTCATAAATTCAGAACTTTTCTAAAATTAACAACAAATTTCTCATAAAGTTTTACTCATTTAGTACAATGACTTTGTTCTTTTTCCGTTAGTGTTATGCAGATGTAACTTCAGAAAATCGATTTTATGAAAAACATGTATATCAATAATTTTGTACTAGTGACCTTTCTAAAATTAATTATTTTATTGATAGTTTTATGCCATTGCATTTTCTGGTTATTAATAATTATTAATAGAGAAACATGTTTCGTATGGTGTTTTCGTCTCACCCCAAAGCCAATATTAATGATTATTATTATATTGTTGATCATAGAGATACTAGGTTGAGAACATAAGTTTCATAACACACCTAAATTATTTATTTACCTGTTGGTGTATGGTATTGTGGTTCCTGCCATTTTTACATTGTCGCATCCAAGGAAAAATAAAAGAGCGTACGAAGCGAGGCAAACAGTGTTTGAAATCAAAACAAACTGTACAGCTCCTTTTGGTCTTAGTTCAAGTCTCTTCAGCAAACATCCTCCCATAAATATGCCAATACAAGCTCCTGGAATCGCTATAGAGCCTGAAAAAATAAGTATAACATGGATGGTTTACAATTTAGAAATAAGATATTGTGCCCATAAAAATATGAAAAAAAAATTGATATAACTAGACAGACCTGTAAATACACTTGCTTGACTCTTTCCAAGGCTAAACTGTGTTTCAAGGTACTTAGGCAAGAAGACGACGAATCCCGATACAATAACCAACTCCATACAAGCTCCAAGACAGGTTATGACATATACTGGGTTACAAACCAATCTCCACATTGAGCGAGGAATATCTACAATATTTTAGAGAAATATGAGGTTTAAGTGCTGTATTTTAGAAACAATGACAATACTTAATGAATATTATAATGTTTATTACTCTTCTTTTATTGATAAAATATTTAAAAAAATAAAATAAAAAGATAAACATTAAATTTTAAAATTTCAGTGGATTCATCCTAATCCAGAAAAAAACAGGGAAAATCTTGGATATTTGTAATAAATTATTTGGGAAAATATAAATTAAAGATAAGCAATTATATAAAAATATGAAATAACAGTTTGAAATCTGCTGTTGAAACATTCAAATAAAAATTTTATTTTTTAATCGGAAATGAACAATTTCCTTTCTTCCTGTTTAATGTCATTTTATGCTGCACAATAATTTTTAATATTGTTCCTGATTGCATCACTTTGATTACCACAATTTTTATTTATTTTGTAGTTTTAAATGAAAACATTTTGGCCAGCACTAATGCCATTTTTAAGTCTTACTTTGTACTTCGATTGACATGTCCAATGCCAAATATTACTTCATTTGTTTCAGTAAAGAAACAAGCTGGGTCTAACATTGTCTTATTAGGGTTACATGGAAAATCTAAATTAAGGCTCTCCATATAACCGTAATTTGACAGTGGGAGACCCAACTTGACATATTAATTTCTTTACTTAAACAAATGAAGTAAAATTTGACGTGGGAAATTTCCATTAAAGTACAAAGTTTTAAATTGCGACCATAATAATATTGGTAATTATTATTTTATTAACAAGTAAATATTACCTCAGTTTATTAAATTAGGGCTATGTTATGAATATTCCTAATTTATTAACTTGAGCAAAAAGTATGGTAAGGAATAATTAGAAAATGAATTTTTAATAAAAATGGCCTGAAAATATTATAAACATGTTCTATAAATTGATAGCTAGCATAACTTCAACAACGAGCCTGGTTTTTCTTACTAAAAATGAATCATGTTCATTTTTACACATCATAAATTTCCTCCTCTGAATATTGTCAACACATGTGTTGTCATCAATTAAAAAATATAAGACACAAATAATAACATGATTTTTTATTATGTCACCTTTTATGTCTTTGCCGTAGGCAGAATCCTTGTTTGAACTGCTGGCACCTTGATTAACAGTTTCACCAGCCTTTTGTGTTGCCAAATTATTTTTTTCCATCAATCTGATCTTCTCCTTTTCTCTCTAAAATTACAACAATGAAAATTAATCTAATAATAAATTTCTATTTTTAGAAATGTTAAAGTTTCCTAATCTCCTTACCGTCAAAACTTTTGGGAATGAAAAGAAAGGTATAGCAACAATCACTAAGAGAAGACCACAGATTAAAAATCCTCCCCACCACATTCCAACCCAGCTTCTATCTCCAGGATCTTAAAAAAAAAATATATATATATATATATATATATTTATTTTTCATACTATTAATGGGTATGATATAAAGTAAATAAGTTTATATAATATATACCTATTTCGATCGGAAAAGTTGATAAAGCGTCCATGTGAAAAGACAGAAGATATGCACCAAGAAGAAAACCTAAGACTGGGCCAAAGGCTGCCATGCTGTACATACAACCTACAAAATAATTTAATTGTATTATTTTTATTGTGGCAGTAAGAGAAAGAAAAAAAGCTGCCTTGGTTAATAATAATTTTTGATTATCCCCGAAATGATTGTTCACCAGCTGTATATAGATTTTAAAAAGGCTTACGATTCTATTGACCGCCAAAAACTGTATAATATTCTAATCGAGCAGGGGATTCCTAAAAAACTAGTAAATCTAGTCAGGATGTGCTTGACGGAGACACTCAATATAGTTAGAATAGGTAATAATTTGTCCGAAAAATTTGAGGTTCGTTCGGGCTTAAAACAGGGGGATTCTCTTTCGCCTGTCCTGTTCAATTTGGCATTAGAACATGCCATTAGGGAGGTAATGCGAACCGAGAAAGGGTTGGATCTGGGTGGGACAACATCCGTGCTGGGCTATGCTGATGATCTGGTACTGTTAAGCGAAGATGTTGAAACTATAAAACTAAATACGAAAACGTTAATGAAAGCCGGTAAAGAACTAGGACTCGAAATAAACATGGATAAAACAAAATATATGGTTAGCTGCAAAAATGGCGATACTACTGGTGATATCGATATAGATGGTAATATGTTTCAACAGGTAGATAAATTTAGGTATCTAGGTTCTACGATAACTAGAAAAAACGAAATTGAAGAAGAGATTAAGGTTAGACTGAAGGTGGGAAATGCTTGTTATTTTTCTATGACAAAACTACTTAGTTCGCGCCTCTTGTCCCGAAACTTAAAAATTAGAATCTATAAAACAATTATCTTGCCTACAGTCCTTTATGGATGCGAAACTTGGCCGCTTACATTAAGGGATGAGCAGTGTCTTAAGGTTTTTGAAAATAAAGTATTGCGTAGAATATTCGGACCGAAGAAGGATGAGTTAACCGGAGAGTTCAGACGGTTACACAACGCCGAATTGCGTGAGCTGTATCCGGGTAATATAATTGAGGTAATTTCATCGCGGCGAATCAAATGGGCTTCTAAAGTTGTTGGGCTTAGTAACGAGAGAATTCCTAAAAGGTTAATATTTGCTATGCCGAATGGTAAGCGTCCGAGGGGTAGACCGAAGCGAAGGTGGGAAGATTGCATTAAAGCCGATCTGAAGGGACTGGGTTTGGACGGCGAACGGTGGAGGGAGGTGTGTAACAAGCGATTGGTGGTGTCGGCATCGAACCTTCGGGTTCGCTAAGCCTTATTATTATTATTATCCCCGAAATGTTAATTTTACATAAAAATAAATATTAAAAAAATATAAAAGTTCTTTGTTTCTTTACAATTAAATAACATGTGAACTTCCAAAAAACTTCAGTATGAAGATTTTAATGATTATTATGATTGATGATCAACATGACTATGTGATGGTAGAATTAATTTAGTACAATTTATCTGGAATAAATATTTTGTACATTTTCAGGGAAAATAGTACTTTAGTTAAAAAGAATATTTATAAATTTTGTTAATATATAATTTCATGTTAAAAATATATTGCTATTTAGCTATAAAGTATTACCTATATATATTGATGCATTTTCTGACTTGACATGATCATCAATATACGTGGTGCCCAAAGTGAAAAGAGGTGACCCACCACAGCCTAGGAGAAGCTGTGCCAGGAGAAACAATAAAACAGGTCCAGTTGTTGAGGGACTGCCCTGTATGCAGTTCTCTCGCAGGTTGTTATGAGGAGCTAATGGTGGTGCAGACAGTCCTGTTGAAAATCATTGGAAATTAATTCTCTGAAAATATATAAGAACATATAGATAAGGATATCTGTGACACCCTGATTGAATACCTGAAAACCTTCCAAGGACCATATCTTGTTCCCTCACTGAGACTGTCTTACATATGTTATCTGAAGTAGAATTGACCATTACAGATCCGGATGGTGGTTCAGCAGTAAAGTGTGGTAGCATGAAGACCAGGGAGCCAACACCCATTATGACAGCACCTGATAAAGAAAAATGGGATCTGATCAAGAAATAATAAATACAATTAAATTAATGTTAAATTATTAAATTAAATTAGATTAAGATATTATGGGATCTTGACCTATTTCACCTTAACCTCTATCTTTTTTTGTTTCTTTAACTTTACTCATTCTAGTTGTGTATTCTGCTAAGCTTACTGAAGGACTTCCTAGTTTTTTCCTTCTCCATATTTTAATGACAGTTATTAACATGTTATGAAAGTGTATGTGAAGCTAATTATGATGTCCTAGGTTAGATTTCTGAGTATGCAAAACTTTAAACAAACACTTTGATCTGACTTGATGTTTATTTATTTATTTTTTAAAAGAAATGATGAGGTGTGATTTGAAATATAGAATGTGAGGTATTTCCCATTTAAAGGAATACAAATCCACAAAAGACAAAACTTAGAATCTTCAGTTTGATTGTTTTTATTCCTATTCCACATTTATGAGACTAACAGAATTAATGTAAATATACATCAGTTCCCGTCTACAGTTCATTAATATACAAAGACTCCCTACCTTCAGTAGTGAGGAAGCAAATTAAGAAAATATATACATATACATATATATGATATATATATATATATATATATATATATATATATATATATATATATATATATATACATATATTATCAGTAATGGAATACTTTAGAAGGAGGGGGGTTATTCCAACATATATGGAAGTAAAACAGATTAGTGTGAGAAAAAAATTGAAGACTGTAAGCGGTGAGTGAATTACAGCAAGCAATAGATTGCTACATGCTTAATATTATTATTATTTTTCAAAGATTGGACTTAATTTACTTAAGAATGATCAATACCTATTGGGCAAGGATAACAACTGTTAGTCAACAAGCAATAAGCTAATGGCTAGCTTAACTCAGCTTTAAGTAACTTTCCCTCTGATAACTAAATTGGCAGAATCAATTTACTAAATAGAAGAGACTTTCTGAAAACCAATGCGATCTCAATCTGTCTGGTCAATTAAGGAAGTGGCTATAAATAACACATCAATATCTTGCAGTTTATTGCCATGAAACATTAAAATTTTATAATCTGCATAATTATACATTAATGAACTGATATTTTATTCTATCCTAAAAGAAAAAACAAATATGGATAAATTAAATTTATAAATATAATATTGAATACTAATTTCAAAGATGGAAGAGTATTATAGGGAATGAAAATCTTTATAATGTCTGTTTAATTTTAATAAATAAGCTATCAATTTTCATTATCATAAATGATTATGTCTCAATTAAATTTGACTTGTAATAATGCTCTAAACTAATAAAATAGCTATTCCTTCCTATGAAAGTGAATTTTTATTCCCAGAAGAACTATATCATTGTGTTATTTTATATTTTATTTTTTTCACCCAAAACATAGAATAACGTACTCTTTTTCTAAAAAAACAAAATTTACAATTTGAATTGATAACCTGAACATAAACTTAAAATTGTTCTATAATATATTGAATACAGATTTAAAAAAAATTAAAATTCAAGGGTTACATATCATGCAGGCGAAAATAAGCAGACTGAAAAAGACATGAGAGATTTTTTTTCTTGGTGAATGATTACTGACGTAATCCTGGTTATTATTTTTTTTACTTTCTAGGTGCTGATGTAGCAATATAAGGAATACAAAATTATGACTTACCTATTCCAATCCATACGGGGATGTGCCTCCTCGATCCTAGGTAGCTGACGAAGATAACCGTGGTTACGTTTCCAATCTCGTAGGAGGACGCGATGAGGCCGGATAGGGAACTTGGTATCTCGAACCTCTTCTCGATGGTTGTTATGACGGAGTTGATGTACCCTGAACTGAGGGCTTGTTGTAAGGTGACCAGGAGGGACAGCAGCAGAACGAACACCTAGAAACAGGAAAATGGCGTTAAGTTTAGTCCAATCCTAGATTTTTTCCTAATCCATTATATAGTGCCAGAGAATCCACAAACTAATTCTAAAGCATTTTTTCTGAGTCTTTACCAAAAAAATGTTCGAGTATCGAATAGTTATAATCAGTAAAGTTAGGAAAACAAAAAAATAATATTAATAATACAATTTTTATTATGAAAAACAGTTTATTTTAATTAATTAAAATCGAAGAGAAAACAACTGTGCGAAATAAGACTATTCTTAATTCCACCGTTTCCGTATCTTAAGTTTAAAAAAATACCTACTTATAATTCCATATTTAACTTATATCTCAGTAAACTTGTACATTGTAAGTTGCATTGAATGGAGGTAGAAGGTTTCTTTTTATTTTCTTGTATGACTTGAGATGCACAATCCTAGTTTTCGACCTCGGTGCCCCCCCCCTTTCCTTCTACCGTATCACTTTTGAATATCCCCAAAACTTCTATATTTTCGCACTTTTTTCGGTTCTCCCCATTTTCTCCATGAAGCAGCACGTTTTTGACTAAAATCATTCTATACGTTTTTAAACTAGATTAAATATACTAGAACGTAAGACCTTAACAGACTCGGAAAATTTAATAGTTTAAGAAATACAGGTTTTCAAAGTTTGGGAAGTTTTATTTTCCATTTAAATTATTTTTAATGTTTGATCATATGCAATTGTCTTTTATTTTAAACAACCTGTCAGATATGAGTCAGTGAAGTAAATATTTATTCATTTTATTATTTTGAAGAACGGGTGATGGAAGGGGGTTAATGGGCCAGACCCCCCTCCCGTGCACCCTTCTCCCACATCACTATAAATTGCAAATTGTTGTATTTCTTGTAACTATAAATTAAAAAAAAGCCAATATTCCCACAAACAAATTTATTTGAGGCGGTAGGGAATAGTTTCTTGCGCCATCGACCTTGGGGGGGGGGATTGACAACCCTGGTATTAAGAGAAAACAACGTGATCTTTTTTATTAAATTAATTTTAACAGATTCAACTTTATTGAATTCATGATAAGTACTGATGAATACACTGCTATTCCTAGCCTGCTAAGCATTCTTTAACATTGTAAATATATACTTATTAGCTATAGACAACACTCTAGTACACTGGCGGACACACTTGGGGAGAGAAGGGACTTTCGGGTTTAGTTGTTCCATGTTTGTTTTTAGTGAGTGCAATGAGCCAAATAAATCCTTAACTAACCACAATATGTCCTCTTTTTAAATCATAGCGCATATATAGCTAGATTTAATCTTGTCAAGATAAAAATATAAAAATGATATTAACTTTTTTTATAATCAACACAAAGAAAGTAAGATTATTTTCTCATTACCTTCAACATCTTTGTTCAAATCCATCATAATTTCCACCTGCTTGTGGTACCCAACCAATGTATTGCCTAGTTTAATATTAGGTATTTGAACTACACACTAGGACACACTCAAATATTATATTTGAAGTAAAAAAACAAACAAAAAACAAGCAAATAGTAAAATAAAAATTTAACAGCTTCAGAGCTAAACTAAAATGCCTTAAACTAAAATTGCCTCTACTAAGATCATTCTTGAAACATTAAACGCAATAATTCATGAATACTACTGTATTTTACCGACAATGAAGATGTAATTGGTTTTATTAATCTCAGATAAGATAGGATTGAAGCATCGGAGAATAAAAAAACAAATGGATTCTGAGAGACAGATTGATAAAGCGAATATCTTCACGGAATTTTCACATTTATCATATCTATGACAGTAAAAAAGGTTTATTGCGATTTTATGAATTTGCGTCATAATTCATGTGGACCGATGAAGAGAAATTTAAAGGCAATTTAATCATGCCCCATAATTTCATTGTGAAAGAGTGATGATGAGAACAGAAGAAAACTTGCATGTGTGGCGAATTAATTTGATTATACAATCAATTATACTTACGTACGCGGCAAATATACCAAAACTAATTGTATGTCATTGCAGCCCAATAAAGGCAATCCCTACCGTTGTAGGAACATATTGAATACTATGATATTATGAATATGAATGAATATGAATATGAATATTATGATATTGAATACTCATAAGCACAGGCGGATTTACCGGAGAGGGGGGGGGGGCTTTCGGGCTGAAGCCCCTCCCAAAATGGTAAAATGTAACCATGTTTTATGGTAAAAAATATTAAAAAATTATGTCTTAAAGTATTATTGCTCGTTTAATTACATTTAATAGGACTTCAAGAATCACTTAAACACCATTTCATATAGGCAGTTAGTATCTTTCTGTTTTTCCAAAGTAATTATCGTCATATGTATGAAAAAAAAAAAAGCTTCCGGGCTGAAGCCTCCCTCAAAATTAAATCCTGGATCCGCTAGTGCTCATAAGCGTTATAAATCCATCTATCAAAGCGATAAACATCAATAAGTAAGATCTGAAGTGACATCATCATGTTTTAAAAAACACTGTTAAGAGAACATGATCTAAGAATTAAATTTAACTTGTATTGGAACTTCGATTATAGCTCTGAAAAATACCTTGAACTGATCATCATAGATTGACCTCATATATCCATCTTTCGCATACCGTCAGTTCATAAGATAGACGTTTCATGTATGAAATGCGGATGTTATCATGTGACATTCATTTTTTTTACTAAGCCGAAAACATAATACTCAATAAAAACTGAAATATTATTTCTTCTTCCAGTGAAAGTATTATTAAATCCAATTATCAAATGAAATTTGAATAAGGCCTGAAGCTTTAAAACGTGGTGAGTTATACTGGTATGAAGAGGAATAGGTTGGGGCCTGGGGGGTGTCCCAGGGTGTCCTGTTCTGAACGTTGCTGGTTGGATTCCCGCCTGAGTCGGTTACTTCTCATTTTTCGGCGGTCCTGGGAAATGGATCGTGACATTCCCACTCTAGTAAGTACGCGTTGGCAACCTCAAGGTAGTCGTCAGGGGTTGGCAAAAAGTACTTCGATAGGTATCAGTACTAGTATACTGATCTGAAGTCCTGGGTCCTAACTCGCTAAGTATATATTCTATGGTAAAATTTAGCTAACGCCATTTAACCCTTTTTTTTTAACGTTATGAAATTCCCTACAAAACTATATAAAAACCGTTCATTTCGGACAACTATTAACGAAGTTACAGCTATTCAATTTCCAATGTATGATTACGGGTTCATATACTGATGTCAGAAACGGTTGAATGAGAGAAAAAAGATAACGAAGTGAAAGTAAGAAAGTCTGTTGCCCGCATCACACAAGCTTCATTGTTTTCTCTATTTTTAACAGAAATTATTGTTTGACACAATTATTCTATGGAAAAAAGTTTTTGATCAGCAATATTAGAGGGTATTGAAATTTGTATACTGATCTACCTTAAGCCGGTTTACATTGCTTTAGTTTATCAAATGAATCGTACTCAAATCTTTTCTTTGATCAATTTTCAGGAAAATAAATCTAATTCAATTTTTTTTTTGTTTCTTGATGGACATATTTAAAGATATAATTTTTTTTCTGAAATAGGTAGGAAAGTCGTGTGAGTGGACACACCAGATTTTTTAAATTAAAACAATTACTTTTGTACAGCAAATTCTTTATATATATATATATATATATATATATATATATATATATATATATTTTTTTTAATAATTAAGGATTTTTTTACGCTCACTGAAACAAAATGATTTTCATTTGGTCAGTCAAGTTGTCTCGATAGCTTGAAGAGATCATCATGTGGTCTGATTGAATGTTCGTACACAATTAATTGCCTTAATTTAACAATTACTAAACAATAATCATCATCATGAACCAATGTCAACATTAAACAATTCCAGAACAATTAGGAGCCAGTGAACTTGGTCCACCCTCAACAATTACTTCGCCTCACGACAGGACCTTGGGCTCCGCTACTAGAGTAACTATCAGGACAATCGCCACAGCCTAAAGCTTGCACCGTCGACAATACTCTAATTACTGGAGGCGGCTGGAGGCTCAAGACAAAGGATCGGATTCCAGCAAGGATTAACCGAGGACAAAGGATCGTCCTGGAGGAGCCTTTGTCATCGAGGAGGCTTTCGTCCTTAATCTTTTTCATAATGGCGGTTCATCTTGTGACCGAGCTCATATGAATGGCAATACATTCCGTATTCTTCTTTATACTAAAGAATGTAGACTGACAAGTTTTTAATTATTTAAGTGGTTGATGAACATTTAAACATAGTAAACGGTGTACACCCACTTTTAAGTCCAAAAATTGATTTAATGATATTACATATATTTTTGAAATAATCATTGTTTGCATTTATTTACTCAAGAAAGCGTCAAAAGCTAGTCACAAAATATCATGGAGAAATATTGAATGCCGCAGGGAATGTTATTTAAGAGCCATAAATGTTTTAGTAAATCTAACATTAGCAGAGGAAATTAATCTTCCAACATCATAAGGCGGGACATTTAGTTTTTAATTAAAGCTATCCTTCGCATTATTGCCATTACACCCTAGGCTTCGAATAATAAAATTGCGTTTATGAGTAATTTTATCTCCGCCCATTTTATCTTTTCTTTTGTTTAATATCTCCATGGCAAACTGTTTTAAACTTTATTCGAAATATATGCAAAACAAACAAATCATTACGTCATCAGTTACGTGATGTTTAATTGTAGTTAATCGCATAAATTTGCAAGAGCTTTCTTTCATAAATGTTTCATTTGGAGTCCGTGGTATCAAATTATTTTAATCAAATACCTCCGGGTGAAACTTTGTAAATAGAAATGATTTCCACTTGAATCGTAAGATAACTTGAGCCAAAAGTCGGCGAAAAAGGTGGCCTTAAAAATTATTGAGCCGTTTGGCGTGATCTACACCCCCAAATTGTTAAAATAACGGGGTGATATGGGCCAAACAGTCCACTATTTTTGTAGGCCACGTTTTTTTTTATCGATTTTGTGATCAAAT